ATTTTAAATTACATTACTTACTGATCAGTCACGTCCCTTGGTTATTATATAAACTTGTTATTTGGTCTTAATCTAAATGTATATTGACTACATATATTTTATTGCCATTTGACCCCTTGCAGGTACCCGTGGGGTGAAGAGGCTTTCGAGAAGGCCCGCAGGGAGAACAAAATCATCTTCTTGTCAGTGGGCTACTCCACCTGTCACTGGTGCCATGTAATGGAGCACGAATCGTTTGAGAACCCCGATACAGCTGCCTTTTTGAACGAACACTTTGTTAGCATCAAGTTGGATCGGGAGGAGCGTCCGGACATCGACAAGATATACATGAAGTTCCTTCTGATGACCAAGGGCAGTGGTGGTTGGCCGATGAATGTTTGGTTAACTCCCGATTTGGTTCCACTGGTGGCGGGAACTTACTTCCCCCACAAACCCCAATATGGAATGCACTCATTTATAGTTGTTCTGAAAACCATTGCTAAAAAGTGGAATGCTGACAAGGAGTTCCTTCTAACAACCGGATCGTCTATGCTCTCTACTATACTGGAGAGCCAGTCGGCTGCAGAAGTGTCATTTAAAGAAGGAAGTGCTATTGACAAGCTAAGCGAAGCCATCAACATCCATAAGCAGCGATTCGACGAAACCTATGGAGGATTTGGATCGGAGCCCAAGTTTCCAGAGGTGCCGCGCATAAACTTTCTTTTCCACGCCTACCTCGTCACTAAGGATGTGGATGTTCTGGACATGGTGATTGAAACACTAAATCAAATTGGAAAGGGTGGTATAAATGACCACATTTTTGGCGGCTTTGCTCGATACGCCACCACTGAGGACTGGCACAACGTCCACTTTGAAAAGATGCTCTATGATCAGGGTCAACTAATGGGGGCCTTTGCCAATGCCTATAAGGTGTCCAGGGACGAAACATTCTTGGGCTATGGGGACAAAATCTACAAGTACTTGGTTAAGGACCTAAGTCACCCTATGGGGGGATTTTATGCCGGCGAGGATGCGGATTCTCTGCCTACCCACGAAGACAAAGTAAAGGTAGAGGGAGCATTCTACGCTTGGACCTGGGATGAAATTCAAGCTGCGGTCCAGGATCAGGCGCAGCGTTTTGACGACATTACGGCCGAGCGTGCTTTTGAGATATATGCTTACCACTACGATCTTAAGCCACCGGGAAATGTTAAAGCCTCCAGCGATCCCCATGGTCATCTCACTGGCAAGAACATTCTAATCATACGAGGATCAGAGGAAGACACCTGTGCTAACTTTAAATTGGAGGCGGATAAATTGAAAAAGCTTCTTGCCACAACCAATGATATATTGCACGTTCTCCGGGAACAGCGACCGCGCCCACATCTGGACACCAAGATTATATGCGCCTGGAACGGCCTGGTGCTGTCGGGACTCTGTAAGCTAGCCAATTGCTACTCCGCGAACAGGGAGCAGTATATGCAGACAGCAGAGAAACTTCTTGATTTTCTTCGCAAGGAAATGTATGATCCGGAACGGAAGCGGCTCATCCGCTCCTGCTATGGCGTAGCCGTTGGTGATGAAACCCTGGAGAAGAATGAGTGAGTTTTAAATTACTTTCTACATTTTCCCGATACGTGACTCAGATATATTGCCGTTTGCAGACCGCAAATTGATGGATTCCTAGATGACTATGCGTTCCTCATCAAGGGCTTGCTGGACTACTACAAAGCTACACTCGACGTAGATGTTTTGCATTGGGCAAAGGAGTTACAAGAGACCCAGGACACGCTGTTCTGGGACGATCAAAACGGAGCGTATTTCTTCTCGCAGCAGGATGCGCCCAATATTATTATGCGGTACAAGGAAGGTGAATGGGATAGCTTGTAAATACATTCTTTACCAATGATTAATTTCTTAAATTTCGTTAAGACCACGATGGAGCCGAGCCTTGTGGCAACAGTGTATCCGCAGGCAATCTCGTCCTACTGGCGCACTATTATGACGAAAGTGCCTATATCCAGAAGGCCGGAAAACTACTGAACTTCTTTGCCGACGTATCGCCCTTCGGCCACGCTCTCCCAGAGATGCTGTCCGCCCTGCTGATGTACGAGAACGGCCTGGATCTTGTGGCAGTGGTGGGACCGGATTCGCCAGACACCCAACGATTCGTGGAAATTTGTCGCAAGTTCTATATTCCAAGCATGATCATAGTGCACGTGGATCCCTCGAACCCAGAGGAAGTCCTCAATCATCGCTTGCAGAAAAAGTTTAAGATGGTAGGCGGTAAAACTACAGTTTACATTTGTCACGAGCGAGCTTGCCGTATGCCAGTTACCGATCCGCAGCAGCTGGAGGATAACCTAGTGGCATATTTCTTCTCAAAACGTGATTAGATCAAACGCAAATTTACTCGAAATGTATTTTTAGAACTTCTAGATGTTAATTAATTGTTATTTCTTTGCTTCGAAAGCGAAAAGGAGTTCTCGGAACTACTTAGTGTTAAGAGCCCGTTATTAAAGACCCCAGTAGACTAGCGACTTCAGCTTCCTCCGTTGTTAAGTCTAAGAGACTGCATTGCTCCCTAAATGTCTAGAGTTGGTTAAAGTTGCTGTACAAGGCCCCTCTTCTCATTTGAATGGTATTAAGCTATTATGTAGATTTTAAACTGCCGATTCAACAAGTCTCTCCAGCTTAAAACCTACAACTAACTTCCCTGTGAACGAGAAAACGAACCTAACAGCGACAAATTGCCGAATTAACCTTATACATGTCCATATAAAACGTTAATAAAGACAGCAGGTGGAAAACATATACAATGTGTGGCATATATGTTCTATATATTCTATAATAATCGTTAAAGTTGAAGTAAAAGCACAATGCACATCACACCATTAATGAAACTATCGTCGAATAATCTCTCTTCTCGAATACAACACGTTTTGTGCATTTATTGGAATCGTTCTGTTCGTGGAGCTATCAACCATTCGGTGGTCGGCTGCACCTGCTCCGCCCCAGAGGCGTAGGCGTAAAACTAGGCTTTAAACTAAATGCGTGCCCTGCGCTGCGTCCGCGATCCGCCACCAAACCCGATCGATTGCAGGAGTGGTGCTGGGATCTCGAAGGCCACGGCAATCGGCGTACAAGGAAACTAAACGTATGGAGAGAACAGCTCGGTAATCGGTAATAATAATCGTAATAATAGTAGTTTGTAGCAATTAAAATAATTTAGTTGAAATTCACATTCATCACATTGGTTGGCCGACCATCTGCCATGCCTCATCCTCAACTGTTGCCGTCGTCGTCGTTCTCGTCGTGCCCTCTGCCTCTCAGGTGTCTGTATCATTGAAGCTCATGGCTGCATCGAAACTATCCACGATGGTCTCCATGCGCTCATGGTGCTCAAATCGTGCGAACTTTCGCGCGAATTTCCGCCCGGATCGCGCAGTACTGTACCTCCGCGAGAAGCGCGCTCGCCGAAAGAAACGGAAGCGCGTATCCTCCTCCTCCTCGTCGTACTCCGGCGCCGACACCGAATCCTCGTCCGTTTCGCGGAGAAACTCTTTCGGATCCCGGTGGATCTTGAAGATCTTGGTGGCCGTCGCCCCGTTTAACTTCGATATGGTGCGCGAGGCATTGAGTATTCCACTGGAATTCGAAATGGAATTGCTGCGGTTCTTAATAGCCGTCAGCCGGTTTGTAATGGACACCACGTTGAATAACTTGGACAGCTCCGAGTCGACGCAGCGCGATTCGCGACGCAGGTTCTTGCCATTCTTTACGTAGATGAAGTGGTTCAAGGGGCTCTGGCTCAAGCTTTGGCTATCCAAGGGATGGCTTCCAGCGGAGCAGGTGGGTGAGATGGAGACGGATACGGAGTTGCTGCTGCCGCCGCCCCCGCTTGTCAACAGAGTGGGCGTGGAGGGCGGCGCTGGAGGTGGCACATGCGGCATTGTGTAGCAACGCTGGCGGCCCGAGGCCAAAGTGGAACCCCCTCCCGCCGGCCCATCGTACAGGTTGGTCACGTTGTATCGGCTCAGGCGGCACAGCGACGTGGACTCCGGTTCCAGTTCCGCCTCCGGATCGTGGCTGGTGGGCATGTCCATGGCCTGTGCATTAGTGTGCGTGGTTTTTGGCCAGGTTTTTCGAGTGGGTGGAGTATGGCGAGCGGAGAGCGGAGTGGTGTCGTGTGGTGCGACGGGGCGAAAAGAAAGGGCGTTGTAGTAGCCTCTAGATTAAACCGACTCATTCATTCGCGGACGCATTGCATCCAATTACCTGCAGCAAGCCTTCGACCTCCATGTACTGGCTGTCGGTGGTGAGACGGTGTGTTTTGTGCATCAGTTGTTGATATCAGGTATATTGATTAGGAAATATATAAATAAAGACTGTCATCGATATTTGCTTCAGCCTATCGGGCGGCTTAACTTCGATATCATCAGGCTTTATTTATATGGGACAATCGGCACCCATAGCACGTCGATACTTGTAGGCGTTATCGGTCTTCAGCATGGTGGATGTGTGACCAGCGCATTGACTGGAGCAACAGCTGACTTCAGATTGGGATGTCATTGGCCAGCAAGTGAATTCTGTTTAAATTTGAATCTGATTGGAGCGATTTCAAAATAACTATTATTTAAAGCTTGAAGTTGGTAACGCGCTTCACTGTTAATCCAATACAAATTGAATGTTGTAGACATTTAAATCGTGACTAAAGTTATATAACATTTTGCAGACATTTAAATCGTGACTATAATTATATCAAATTTTGCAGACATTTAAATAGTGACTAAAATGATATTAGATTTGGCAGACATTTAAATCGTGTCCAAAATTATATGAAATAGGTTTTTCTTTTAAAGGCTTGAGCTTTCTTATTTTTTCTCTTATTTTATATATAACTTTTGAAATAATTTTTATAAAATCAATTTTTTTTGTTTAAGAACAACTTTTTAACAATGTAACTCATTTCCTGTACAATTGTTGTATTCCAACCACCCCATAAAACGAAAACAAACGCATAGTTTTGCTGGTTCTGTAGTTTAATAATAATCTGGTTTCAGTCTTACAAGTTTGTTGTGTATTTATCAGCCACTTGCGGTCTACCATAGGCCCCACTCTTGGTTTCTGTATGGGGATAGCGGGCCAAAGCCTTGCTGTGCTTGTGGCCAAGACTCCAGTTGAAGGCGCACGAGCAAGTCTGGTCACCATTTTCCGGAGTTGTTCCAGGTCGGATGGCTGGTCGCGCCTATGGCATCTGCACAAGCGGCCGATTTTACATGGTTGGGGGCGGGGAGGTCTGTGCCGGCTGGAGGAGTCCGGTAGTGACGTGTCCCAGCCCCTGGATTTTGTGTGATGGATACTGGCGTGCCGAAACCTGTCGCGAAATCGCTGGGGTCGAATGTTAAACAGCCCTAGGCCCCTGATCTCGAAGAGACAACTTGGCGTGCCAACCGCACGGATGGCGAATCGTTAGCCATCGTAGTGCTATGTGGTCAATTAGTTTTGAAAAATTCAAAACAAGTTGGTTGGTTGGTTGGTTGGTTGGTGTCCTAAATTTCTGACGAAATTTAAGTTTTGCCCGGCTCACGCCCATTGTAGCTCCACTCGCAGGGGGGACATCGCGAAGGATTGCGTCACCGGAAACCGGAAGCAGCCGAAGCCACAACCGGAAACGAGTGGCGCCCGCCTTCGGGGCCGTCGAAATCCCTCGGCAAAAGGATCTAAGTGGGCGTTCACCGGACGGGTTCGCCAGCTTCACAAAGGACCGGGATCAGACGAAAAATCACAAATAATGGATACAAAAGCTATGATTGCCATGTCTTTCAACACAGCAATCATCTCTCTTGACAGCCAACTAATCGCTGCTCCTCCGCTGACCGGCACAAAGTGGAGCCGGCGGTTGTGAGAATCAACGGTTGTGCGGGGCGACTGGAGATCAAGCAACATCCATTTCGGACTCGCGATGTCAGAGCATCAGATTCGAAGAAAATGGGGGCTCCATGCCGAGGCACTTTACCCGCCATCTGGTTCGAATTTCATAGTCCTCCATTGCGAATAACCGATTTTACGGACGAAATGCCTGATCCTCAGCCGCTCCGCCCGATGATTCTCGAAATCTACATACTAGTTGAAAATACATGTTCAATATTCTAAGTAATTATATAAATTACTTTCCAAATGCTGGCGTTCTGTGCCAAAATAGCCGCGAGTCGGCGTGAAATATTATAGAAATAGAGCCGTTTTCGAGGTATTGCGAAGAGCAATACAAACAGCGTGGGTTTCAGAAGCTAAATCGCGGCTTACCGGCACGCCGATTGCCAGTGAGTATGGAGAGTATGAGATGTGGCTGCTGCTGCTTTTGGTGTTGCTGCTGCTGATGCTGCTGCTGCTGCTGCTGCTTTTGGTGTTGCTGCCGCTCCTCATCTCCCCGGTTGTTGGGCGTTGTCTCTGGCGTCGATCGGCCGGCGAGGCTACGAAAAGTTCTGTATTGGGCAGCGATGAGGTCACCAATGACGGTGGCTGCTGCCCCTTGGTATTTGGCGGTGTTTGTGCCGCCTACTCCTCGCGTTGATCCTCCTGCCGATCCTTCTGGCGCTTGCGACAATTGTCGACTGTGTGGCCCCGGAAACTGCAGTAGGTGCAGCGGGTGGTGCGCTTGGAGCCACGGGTGTTTTTTGCTGCGGCGACCAGATCCTCGTCCTCCTGGTTGTTGTGCTCGATGATGCGGCCCTGTTCCAAGAGATCCTTGAAGGTACGGATGCTCTGGCGGGAGATGTGCTTGCGGTACTTGATGTTCAGCAGACCGAACAGGAGATCCAGTTCCGTTTCCTCGTCGTGGCGACCGCTGGGCAGCTGGGCCAGCAGCGCTCGCTTCTGGATCACGAAGGTGTCAATGGGGTCAATGTCTTCCTGCTTCCTTTGAAAGAACTCCATGTAGACCTGGTATGCGGGCTTGGTGGGCGAGAAGTGTTCGCGGATGAGGTTGATGGCTTCCTTCCATGTGGCGGCCTCCTTGCGGACGCCCTGCCACCAGGTGCTGGCCATTCCATAGAACAGCAGTGAGATGCCCTTCAGAGCGTTCTCGTCGCTGATCCCCTCCAGCTCCTTGTACAACGTGATGTTGGCAATGAACTCCTCGACCACGTCGTGATCGCGGGTTCCGCCGAAGCTGTGCGTGCACGTGGAAAAGTTGCCCTTGCCTTTGGTGGCGTCTGCTCCCTCGGCTGCGGCTGCACTTCCGGCGGCAGACACGGCGGCTGCCTGTACCGCTTCGATCAGCTTCTGGAGCTGCTCGTTGGTCATTTGCGTAAGTTGTGCCATTTCTGCTGCTCTGTGGGGTTGGGTGACAAAGTGTTTGGTGGTTCAGTCGGCGGACAAAGCCAGTGTGGCGAATGCGGCCGGTGATTTGAACTGAGGAGCTCTCCCCACATGGCGGCCTTTTATACCCGCCGGTTGTGAAATCGCACTTTGAAAAAGCTCTGGGAATTTGGGAGAGCCGATGTGAGAGCGGTTTTTGGTATTGCTACTCAGTGAATCATCACGCTATACTTATGTACGATAATAGCAGTTTGAATGCCGGTAACTACATACCACTGATGGACAAACCTGATTGTAAATATGTCCCAAAACTGATAAACAAATCTAAATTTGGTAGAACTGATAGCTCCTAGTTATTTGAACAACATACTGAAAGGAAAGTTTTTAGAGGGGTTTGTCTGCAGATTTTAGCGAGTTTGCTCGACTTATATTATTTCATTTTCATGTGAAATTGTCACAACATAAATGTTGAACATATTATATGTATTTATACTCCATGAAAAAAGTATCAGTTACAGAACATGACGAAATAAATGTCGTGTTGTTTTTGGACTTCTTTAGCATATTACAAAAAACAAAAACAATTCCATTTGATTTTATTTAGAACAACAACCAACCTATTTTACACGCATTTTGTCAACCCCATGTGCATTTTATTATATTTTTATTTCGATTTTATTATATTAAGGTAATATTATTATTGCACTACATGCAATTTTAAAACACTGTAAATTAGCTGTTCAATTGAAAGAGCTATTAAACTATGTATTTTTTGTTCTTTACAATCTTTTATAATATGAAACTATTCATCTGTTTGTATTTTTAGTGTGTTTCCTAGAACTACATAATCGTTTTTCATTGTCGTACGAAATTCTTTAAACTGACTCATAGCCTAATTATCAACACGCAAGAAACATTGGTTAATTTTTTCTTATTAAAGGGGATTTATTCATGTTTTATAAACATTAAGAAGTTATTTACTTTTAAATAAACAATATTCTGAAAAACAATAACATATCAAGAAATTATTTGGGTATTACTACTAAATGGAATTTCAAATGACTTATGTACATACATGTGTACATATGTATGTATATCCGAATTTGACCGAAAACTGTGCTTTGCCTACGAAGTCATTTGATGTATTAAAAATTCAACAAATCAATAGAGATGACGTCATATAACTTGAATAATTTGAAATGTGCACCCCATATGAAGTAGATGTTCCAAATAAATCTAAGAGTAAAAGTGCATGCACTATGTACATACATATGTGTGTATATAGTTAATAATTCCACCCATTATCAAAGTGACATGTTTGAATGCCACCTGTTATCTGGGTGCTTTATCTATAGAACAAATTCGTGTAAATCGGAATGCAGATAGCAGGAGGGAACCCCCAGAGAGTCCAACGAAAATATTGGAGCTTTTTTTGCTCACAAAGAAGAGAGCAAAGTTGCTTTTGATTTCACAACAAGCGAAATCGCTGAGCAGGCAAAAATCGACGCCAGTTGCCCCCCAGTCATCAAACGATTGGGGCCTGAAATCGTTATTGAAGCTGCCCCGTTCCCGGCGTTTGGAACCCAAACAAACCCAAGAATCCGGCGACAAAATGACGCAGATGTCGGATGAACAGTTTCGCATATTCATCGAAACTATTAAATCGCTGGCGCCGATCAAGGAGGAACCGCCATCCAAGGGCAGCTTCAGCAACTGCACGGTGAAATTCAGTGGCCAGCGGGATCACGATGCCGTGGACGAGTTCATCAATGCCGTGGAGACGTACAAGGATGTGGAGGGCATCAGCGATAGGGATGCGCTGAAGGGTCTGCCGCTGCTCTTCAAAGGCGTTGCGGTGATGTGGTGGAAGGGTGTGCGCCGGGATGTCAATACCTGGCCGGAGGCCCTCCAGCTGCTGCGCGATCACTTCTCGCCCACCAAACCCGCCTACCAGATCTACATTGAGATCTTCGAGACGAAGCAGGCCCACAGCGAGGTAATCGACTCATTTGTGTGCAAGCAGCGAGCCCTCCTGGCCAAGTTGCCGGAGGGACGGCACAACGAGGAGACGGAGCTGGACTTCATCTACGGGCTGATGCAGCCCAAATACCGGGACAGCATTCCGCGCCACGAGATCAAGACCTTCCGGGAGCTACTCGATCGGGGCCGTAACGTGGAGCGCACAAAGTACTGAAGCTAATAAAATTATTTAAAATTAGGCAATAAGCTCGGATTACAATAAAAAAAAAATCTGCCTTTTTTGGGCAGAATGAATGTGGTGTGGTTAGCTTTTATTTTGAAGCTTTTTAGAAATTATTCATTCGATGAAGAAATTGTCGAAGCCTGTAACATTAATCAACATTAATTAAAATCAACAACGAGAATCCCAAGCGTTCAACTACATTTGATAAGAACTCTGTTAACAAGTTAAAATCAAAGAAATCCATATTCCTGAAAATACTGCTACTTGTAGTCTAATAATTCAAATGGAACAAAAAGTGGCTGTGTGAAAGGTCTATAATTCAACAGCTGGCCCAACAAACACCGATATGTTCCGAAGTATCGGTATCAACAAAAAACATCGAAAGTTAAGGGCACGGAACATCGATTCTCGATGCATCGTGTTTTTACATCCCTAGCCTGGCCGAGGTGCGTTGCGTTTTCAGTAATATCGTGGAAATAACGTGGGATTGTGCGTTTCGTCGACCGCCAAATGGGGAAAAGTATCGCCGGCGCAGGCGACATACGCAATTACCAGGCGGCACTTTTCCGCCAGCCAAAGATGCTTCTCAGATCGCATTTCATGCTCTTTCAGGTGGCAGGAAACTTCTGGCGTCCCCCTTCTCGTCCTTTCGAAGGCTCTCATGTGAGACGGCGTCCGTATATCTGCGACTGGGACTTCGACTGCTGAGCGCCGGGCGGAGGACACGATGACCACCAGCAGTGAGGACGTGCTGCTCCAGATGGGCGAGGTGCGGTACAAGAAGGGCGACGGCACGCTCTACGTAATGAACGAGCGTGTGGCCTGGATGGCAGAGCACCGGGACACGGTGACAGTCTCGCATCGCTATGCGGATATCAAGAGTGGGTTGTTCTCGAATCCTTCTTTACCATATTTGGTAACCCCTATTTTTTTATATTCAGCTCAAAAGATATCTCCTGAGGGAAAACCGAAGGTGCAGCTGCAAGTGGTACTCCACGACGGCAACACGTCAACCTTCCACTTCGTCAACCGCCAGGGACAAGCAGCCATGCTTGCCGACAGGGACAAAGTCAAGGAGCTGTTGCAGCAGCTGCTTCCCAACTTCAAGCGTAAGGTGGACAAGGACCTGGAAGACAAGAACCGCATCCTCGTCGAAAATCCCAACCTGCTGCAGCTCTATAAGGACCTCGTCATAACCAAAGTCCTAACCAGCGATGAGTTCTGGGCTACTCATGCCAAGGATCACGCTCTTAAGAAAATGGGCAAGTCCCAGGAGATCGGTATGTATAACAAAGGTTTTGTGCCTTTTATTCCACACTCTTATAAATTGTAATCTTAGGTGTTTCTGGCGCCTTTTTGGCCGACATTAAGCCGCAAACAGACGGCTGCAATGGCCTCAAGTACAACCTCACCTCTGATGTGATTCACTGCATTTTCAAGACCTATCCCGCCGTTAAACGCAAGCATTTTGAGAATGTGCCTTCCAAAATGCCCGAAGCCGAGTTTTGGACTAAGTTTTTCCAGTCACACTACTTTCATCGTGACAGACTGACAGCTGGCACAAAGGATATATTCACGGAGTGCGGCAAGATCGATGACCAGGCATTAAAAGCGGCTGTACAGCAGGGAGCTGGTGATCCCTTGCTGGACCTTAAAAAGTTTGAGGATGTTCCTTTAGAAGAGGGCTTTGGAAGCGTTGCCGGGGATCGCAACGTCGTGAACAGCGGGAACATTGTGCACCAAAACATGATCAAGCGATTCAACCAGCATTCCATCATGGTGCTTAAGACCTGTGCTAACGTGACTTCAGCGCCGTCAAATATGACCAATGGTACCAATAATGCCAACGGGCCTGTTTCCCAATCCGCCTATACGAACGGTATGAATGGAAAGGCCCAGGCCACGGCCACCGCCACGAAGAATTCCGCCGACCAGGTGGACAAAGACGAGCCGCAGAGCAAAAAGCAACGACTGATGGAAAAGATTCACTATGAGGATCTCGGGGACCCTCTATTGGAAGGAAATGATGATCCCGCCAACGGCGAGAAAGCCAAGTCTAAGCAGTTCGAATTGTCCAAAGTGGAGCGTTACCTTAACGGCCCTGTCCAGAACAGCATGTACGACAACCACAACGATCCAATGAGTCTGGAGGAGGTGCAGTATAAGCTGGTGCGGAACTCGGAATCGTGGCTGAACCGCAACGTGCAACGGACGTTCATCTGTTCCAAGGCGGCAGTAAATGCTCTCGGTGAACTGAGTCCTGGCGGTTCCATGATGCGCGGTTTCCAAGAGCAGTCAGCGGGACGTAAGTGAAAATAATTCCTAACCAAAATTGTTACCAACTTTAGGATGAAATTACAGAACTTGTTCCGAATGATTTCCAACGAGAGCTGCGCCACTTATACCTTTCGCTGTCCGAGCTGCTAAAACACTTTTGGAGCTGCTTTCCACCCACCTCGGAAGAGCTGGAAGCGAAGTTACAGCGTATGCACGAGACTTTGCAGCGCTTCAAAATGGCCAAACTAGTGCCTTTTGAGGTGGTTTTTATCCTATTTTCCTTAAAAAGATATTACAAAACTCCTTATATTGCAGAACCGCGCCATGCACGAACTCTCGCCACTGCGCTCCTCGCTGACCCAGCACTTGAACCAGCTGCTGCGCACCGCCAACAGCAAGTTCGCCACTTGGAAGGAGCGAAAACTGCGCAACACCAGGTAGCAAACGCTCAACGGAGGCGAGCTCGAGCATCTGCCACACACCTCAAGAACCATTATTATAGACTAGGCTAAACTATAAACGTATGCGGAACGCATTGGAATAAAACATTATTTGCAACTTGGTAGGCTAGCCCTGTTTCCATGTCTTGTTTTGGGCAATTCTATGTCTGTAATCGTGACTGCTGTTATTTTGGTACAGCGGCAGACTGTGGTTAGTTATGATGGCTACTCACGGGCCATCAATTAACAGGTTCGATTCTATAAAAGTTGTCATCTTGGGCGCTCGACGGTTTAGTTGGATGGCAGTTATTGGTCGCGACTCCTCAAGCATATTTTGAAGAAATGAATATTTTAACATTATTTGGCCTTGTTTTTCTAAAGTTCATCTTTGTGGAATCCACTTTATTATTTGAAACCAACTCGGAATTCGGTGTAAGTATTGTAATTGTTTCTATTCCAGCATAAATGCATTTATTAAAAATATTTAGATCTTTATGGCCATATCAGTGCCACTTTCCTTGAAGAACCGCAATGTGTTCCTTTCCTATAACTATGAATTCAACTACTACCAGCCCGAGCACGTCTACAAGTATCCTCCGATATTGGTAAGTTTTTACAAGCTCAGATGTATCGGGAAAAATATTTTTCGTCCTGCTTAGATGGGTGATAACTGGGAGGATAGTTATTTGACGTATAATACCACCGGTGGTAGGAGCGGCAGCAGATCCTTTCGTGCTGTGGATGATAATAGTTTAACCAAGAAACGGACTTTACCGATCATGAGTCGGACGAATTTTTACATAATGCTCAAGGATAAATTGGAAAGGTTTGTCTTAATAAAAACTTTAGGCATATCTACTAATAAAAATCCTCACAGATTAGGATACCCTGCTGAGTCCTGCCTCCTGCGCTTGATTTGCGAAACGAATTCATCAACACTTGGCCAAGTCAATGGACTCTTGGGCAGCATAGTGCATATCTTGTTCACGTAAGTGTACGATTTTCTCACGATCTGCACATGATAATGAAAGCTCTGACCACACCTGCTAGCTTTAAGCGCTAGATATTTTTAGCACCACACTTAATCACTGGGGTTTCCTCTTGCAGACCTAGCAGCTCCAGTGACGAGAATCTCGACAAAGCCTACTACCAAGCCGAATGGGATGGCCTTCGGTATGGCGACTGCTCATCTTATGGAAGCCAATGTGAAGAGAATGTATTGGATTTGATATCAAGGCCAGTGCACGATGTTCTTAAGGAAGCTCTGGATAGAAGAAATGGAAGATAATAAACTGGATAGTGGAACAGGCGATTACAGCTTAATCTGCATTGAACCAATTCGACCCGACGTAGATTTCCAATTCTTCGTTTTAATTAACAGCTTCTTGGACACGCACCTTTCTTGTCGACTTTTGCCAAGGCGGTCTCCAGTTGCTTTTAAAACGCTCACAGTCGAACATCGGAAATTGTTTACCATTGCTTACCATGTACAGATCTTTGATATTTTCACCATCTTTTTTCCTTTGTGCCATAATAAATAACCTCAATTTGGCGAGGGCTGCGCTGCTTTTTACCACCAACTCCGAGTATGGGGTAAATTCAACTTAATTTCTAATGATCTGTTTACTAAGAAGTGGTTCTTTCCTTAATAGATATTCATGGCCATATCGGTGCCTATTGGCTTGCCACATCGCAATGTCTTTTTGTCCTATAACTACGAGTTTAATTACTATCAACCGGAACACGTGTACAAATATCCACCGATCTTGGTGGGTTTCTTATCGAGGTTCGCTACTTGAGTCTTTTGTTTGAACGCTTTGTTCGTCAACATTTTTAGATGGGTCAGGACTTTGAGGACAGCTATCTCACATATCCGACCACGGGACGTGAGGCCAAAGGCCGACACTGCCAAAACTGCACAGATTGGAAAACTGAGGAAAATACAAATAGCACTTCCTCAAATAATAACTCAACTAAAGCTGCGTCGCGCGAAAAGCGTGGTCTAACTCTGATGAGTCGATCGGTTTTTTATGCAATGCTAAGGGATAAATTAAGGAGGTTGGTGCCAAACTATCAAGACTATTAAATCAAAGTATTTAATAGTACAATTTACATATTTTCAGATCAGGGTTTCCAGCTGAACCCTGTTTGCTGCGCTTGATATGCGATACAAATGCTTCACAACTGGGCGAAGTTAATGGATTTTTGGGCAGCCTGGTTCACATTATATTCAGGTCAGCTCATAACTTTCTTTAAATAAGCCCCAAGATCAATCAAACTTCTCATATTATTGTAGTCCCAGCAGCTCGAAGGATGAGCACCTGCCCAATGAGTATTACCAGGCCGAATGGGATGGTCGGGAGCACCAGGAGTGCTCCGCGTATACCAAAAGCTGTGATCACAACATTTTGGACCTCGTTTCCGTGCCACTGGAACAGGCTTTAGGCGACATTGTAAGCCGACGAAGGCGCAAATAAACTGGAGTACTGACCAAGAACCAAGCCAAGTAACTTTCTGGGGGTTTACCTATCAAATTAGCGGCCACTTGCTTGGCGTTCGCCACGCACTTGTTGCGAGTACTTGGCGTGGATTGCAATTCAGTTGCTGTCTGAGCATCGTGGTGGTCTATCGTCTGTCTCTGGTTCGAGAAAATGAATTTCACTAGCTCATTTCTTGGAGTGTTTTTCCTTTTAACCGTCTACCTCGACATAACCAACTCCTTTGTGGCCTTTACACCTGCCAGCACACACGGTGTAAGTTCTTCAAGAACTATTTAGCCTAGGAAGCACACGTGTATCATCTTGATTTTAGATCTTCGCCGCTATTGCCGTTCCCCTCGAGTTACCCCATCGAAATGTGTTTGTCTCGTACAATTTTGAGGCCAACTACAATTTGCCCACGAACTGGGAGAAATGGACAATATTTGTAAGTTTCATTTTAGGTTTGTTTACGGCTATAAAACGCCACATTTGTTGACAATTAACACGCCTTTATGGAGCAATTAACAGTTCAACCAGAAAGGGAGTAATGTTTGGTTATTTACCCATGGCTCGAATTCTAGCAAAATGGTCCCATAGAGTCGGAGGAAGTTTTAGAAGCAACTGATACGGAAACGGATGCAGAGTCTTCTCGGAAATTGGCATCTCCTTGCAAAAACTGCACTGTGGAGGAAAATGAGGAAGGTGGTGAAGAACTGGAGGAAACCACTGAAGTCCTTTCCAAAGAACGCAAAGTTAGATCCTTGCTCACACGTTCAAATATCTATCGCATTTTCATAGATAAACTGAAAAGGTTGGTTAGATATAAGCTATAAAGCCAGGACCAGGCTAATTTAACTAAGTATTCTAGAAGTGGTTTTCGAGGTGAATCTTGCTTGCTGCGGCTGATTTGTGAGGCAAGTGCTGCTCAATTGGATGAATTCAACGGCGTCTTGGGCAGTTTAATGCACGTTTTATTCAGGTATTATTAAGGCATCTTCTAATAACCCAATATAACTTTTTGAACTTTAAAGTCCCAGCTCATCGGAGTCTGAAGAGTTACCCCTGCGCTATTACCAAGCGGAGCATGATGGTTGGAACGGTCATTGCCATTTCTACGAACCAGGTTGTGGCGAAAGTATTTTGGAGCTTATATCAGAACCTTTCGAAGAGATTTTCAAGCATTTAGAACGCAATAAAATATAGATAAAAGATACCCAAAATGCCTCTTAAATCTGTTACTAGAACACACCATTTGGCCTGAATTGACTGGCTTTTCAATTAGCAACTTTCGCTGCTAGAAACTAGAAATCATTAATTGGATCATCACTTCTAGCTGGAAAGAAAGGTTTTCACATTGGCTTTCCAAAACGAACTCTTCAGTTGAATAGGGGTGGTTGGATACAATGGACGGACGTGTAACATTCCTAGTTCTGTTGATTTTTGGCTGCATCAAGGCCTCGCAAGCCAAATTTGTTTGGAGTACAGGAGGAGCATCTTCGGTAAGTTTTTCTTTGCTAAATAATGCAGAATAATATCTATTATTCACGCCCTGGTTAGCTATTTGTGGCCATCGCTTTGCCTTTGGACTTAAAGTTTGAAGAAGCCTTTTTATCCTATAACTTTGAAGTTTCCTACGACTTGCCGAGAACCTGGAAAAAGAAACCACCGTTTTTGGTAAGATTGAAGATCAAACTCAGGGGATATACATATAAACATTTTTTCCCTCTTAAGCGACGTGGAAATGGCACAAATGATGATAGTTTACTGAGTGATCACCACGGCCACCATGAGAATGAGGATTTCGTTTACGATGACTATTACGATGATGATCAGCACTCTGGTAACAAGCACAAACACAAACACCATCATCATCATGATAAGAAAAAAAAGAAGACTAAGCCTAAGCCTGGTTCTGAGCCACAGAAAAATAAGCCCAAGCATAAGCATAAGAAAAAGCATAAGTCAAAACCGAAGCCACCACCAGAAGAGGTGGACGACGACTACAAAGACTTCTTCCAGGGGTTTCCCTTGGATGGCATGGGTGATCCTGTGGGCAGAGATCGTCAGAGGAGGTCACTACTCTCACGTACCAAGTTCTACGAGATTATCAATCATCGGTTCGAATTGTAAGACAAACTACAGCATTTGTCTGCCCTTAAGCTCCAATACACTCTGTATATACTTTCAGGCATGGACTAGGCTCGGGCGAGAATTGCTTACTAAGACTGATTTGCGAGGCGAATAGCTACCAATTGGGAGAGCTAAATGGTGTTCTCGGCACCCTAATCCATGTAATGTTCACTCCCAGTAGCTCTCGCTATGAGGAATTACCTAAGCGTTACTACATCGCCGAACTGGATGGGCGGAATGGGAACTGCGGGGGCTATCAACTGCAGTGTAAACATAGTGTTCTCGACATGATCACGCAACCAGTGAAAACTAAAACCAAAATGCACTAAAATCCTCGCTAGATATCACTCTCATAACTGGTATTCGTTTTAACATCTTTTAAGTATTCTTCATAAACATTTTTAGCGCAGCCCATGGACATTTTTTCGCGTAGTTCTTGGCCTCCTGGCACATCCTATTTTTCCTTTGCCACATTTGCTCCGGACAGGTGAAAATCAAGCGAGCATACGCACAAAGGCTGTAGAAGAGGGCGTGTCGGTCACAGGCGTCGCTCTGACGACTTAGTGGAGAAAGCTCCAGGTACTTGCTCCTGACCACCGATGAACACCTGGCAAAGTTGGACTCGTAGACATCGATGGTTGGTTCGCTGGTAAAGGCCCGCTGCAACATGGGTCGAACTTTCGCTTGGTTCAATCGATTTCCTTGCAGAACTGAGCTGGCATTGAAGATGCAATCTAAACGGCACTTGATGAGGCAGCTGGCCAAATTATCTTGACTTTGAGATATGCTTTTACTACTTACACTTGCCTGAGTGGCCGATTTAAGGCACTCTCTGTTGAAAACTCCCCAGTTTGGCAGGGGCGCTGAACAGCAAACGTGTACATTCTGTAAATAATGGATTAAGCATAGAGAAATAAAAGTATATTAACTATGCACTTACTTGCACAGATTTGGGCGCTGCCTTGCACTTTGCTGCCCGAAAAGGAACTATAAAACACAACGAAATTAAGGCAACAAGTATACGCCCCGTCCGCATAGCTGAAGCTTCCACAGCCGAATGATCCAATTCATTGCGGAAATATGTGCTTGCGTGTGGTTTCAGGGAGATGACATGAAAAGATCAACTGTCCCCACATGTTAACCCACTAAGGCTGTGAAGGTTTTACTTTGTAATTTACTTCATTTGGCAGCGAAAAAGGCATTATCAAAATTTTACGTTTAATTCTTGTCCCGTTCAGAAAGAGGCAACTCCAAAATGTCTTCGGTGCTGCATCTACTTGGTTTTCTGTGGCTTCCTTTGCTGGTTTACAGTGACTCCAATGATATAGGGGGATTGCAGAAATGTACAGAGCTTCTAAACACGCAAAAGTTGGTCTACTGTTGCGGAAAGTCCTTTCTTGATAAGTTCCTATTCGTTGGCAGCAATTGCACACCGTATTGGGATGACTATGGTCCTGTGAGTAACTTTAGTGCAGACGCCTCAATGTGCTGAATAAGAATCATTCCGCAGTGCCGCTATGAATGTCTGTATAGGCACTGGGAACTACTGGATCAGTATAACCAGATCAAGAAACCGGAGCTCTACATGATGATCACAAGCCTGTACAGTCCCTTGAATGGTTACGATAAATACGGAGCCGCTCTGAAGGCAGCCCACGAGACTTGCGAAGCCCTGGGCTCAAGGCACGCTGACTTTTTGCTGCTGTACTCCAACCAGGTGTCGGATAGGATGGGCATGGCTTCCTCCACCTGTTTGCCATACGCCATGCTCCATGCCCAGTGTACCACGGTGTACCTAACCGCGAACTGCCCCCTTGAAAACTGGATGGAGGATTCCACGTGCAACAGTCTCCAGAAACTGTTGTCCAGTTGCACAAAGAAACTGGACGAAAAAACGAACGTACTAAAGGGAAAAGAGGATGGACTACCGGACAAAGGCTGTAGGCCTATAGGTTCAGAGGGACTCCATCTGCTCCTGGCCAGTTTTCTAACCCTGATGGTCTCAATGCTCTTATCGGCTTAGTAACTGGGGATCTGTGTACTAGGGATTACCTATATGTATCTGTCTGGTTTTCCAGTTCTACAACGCTAAAACGATTGCATTTAAGCTGATGAGCTAGTTTAATGGCAATTGTCTGGCTTAAGCCGAGCCCCCGATCGAACATAATGTTGGACTTTGAGCCGCTATAAGTCCACTACAATGACTGCACATTTTCGCTCACAAGACCGTCACCGGAAAGAGTTTTAGCTGTGCTCGATTAATTGGTGGATCGTCACGCACCTGGAGTTATAAAGTAGGCCGCCGGCACCAGACGGAGCTCAGACTGACTAAAATAATGGCACGGCAAATAGCCCTGCTGATCTGCTCATTGCTGGCGATGGCTGGGTGTAATCCAATCGATGTGGACTGTACTCGGCGGCAGGATTTCAATGTGAGCTATAACGAATCATCACTTCGATCATCAATATATTGGTTTCTTATTCTTTCAGGTTGTCAAGGACTGCTGCGCCTATCCCACACTTAGGTTTTACCAGTTCAAAGGCCAGTGTGGTAAATATATGCCAGTTGGAGCTCCCAGAATTTCACCCGTATGTCAGAGCTTATCCCTATAAAGTTGGCACCTGATGAGCCGGTTTTGTTTTATAGTGCCTGTATGAATGCATTTTCAATAAGACCAACACAGTTGTGGACGGAGCTATTCATCCTGGCAATGCCCAACTCATGCTGGAGAAGCTTTTCGGGAATCAGGACTTTGAAGAAGCCTACTTCAATGGCTTAATGGGCTGTTCGGATTCTGTGCAGGAGATGCTAAGCAATAGGAGGCCTCGCCCCCAAGGAAGAACAGAACAGTGCTCTCCGTTTTCACTTTTCTATGCACTTTGTGCCCAGAGATATGTCTTCGACCACTGCCCATCATCCAGCTGGTCCGGCACTGAATCTTGCGAAGTGGCCCGATTGCAGAACATGAACTGTTCGAAGCCGACACGTGGTTCTAGTAATCGCCTACCATAAAGGCATATACGAGTACTTGTAATAAAAATATAAACGAACATGTATTCGTTTGATGGGATGCGTTAAGCTAATGGGCCGCATTGAAAGTCGTTAGGATATCCCATTCAGGTTGTATATATGAATACTGGGGAATGTTAGTACCGCAGAAGTAACTCGAAATGCTCCACCTGCTGACTTGGGCACTGATACTTATACCAGCCTATCGGGCTGCCGATCCCCTTTGCTCCAATAGGCCGGATGTAACTGTGGGTACCGCACTTAGGATTTAGGACTTAGGATAATTATAGTTCATACCCTGTAGGCCTTGAAAAACTGTTGCAAGCTGCCTAACCTGAACTTCTCAAGTTTCAACTCCAAGTGCAGTCAGTATTTGGTCAATGGAGCCCATATATCACCTGTAAGTCAGCTGATTCACCCAAAGAATTCACATTTGACTAACCCGATCCTTCAGTGCAGCTTTGAGTGCATCTTTCAAGCGGCGAACGCATTGAACGGCACGCATTTGGAAATGGAAAATATCGAAAAGATGATGAAAACCATTTTGGACTCTGATGAATTTGGGCAGGTGTACGTGGATGGATGCAAGAGCTGCAGCAGTCAGGAAGAGGTACTTATTAAGGCCCTGAAACGCCGCCGTGTGCCCCTCACCGGAAAATGTGGCTCAATGGCCATAGTGTATGGTCTGTGTGCCCATCGATATGTCTACCGGAATTGCCCGGACCGGGTTTGGAGCAAGAGTGCCAGCTGCAAGGAGGCCAGGGATTACAACATTCGCTGCGATGACATATACTAAATTTGACTTTGAAGGTGAAATAAATCGCACAAATTCAGCTGCTTTGATCACCGTGTGATGACATTTATTTGGCTTAGTTGAAGAGTACATCCCGCCAAGTAGGCTTTTCTGGGTATCCGAAGACGTCTTGCCCAGACGAACAACCAAGTTCGCTCACAGATTCCTCATCTTCTTGCTGCATATTTAAGCTAGCTGTAAAATACCTATTTTCAAACTGAACTACCATGCGAAGTCCGACTGCTCACCAAGTTCCTCCAAACTCATGCCCAATCGTTTGGCATGCTGCATTAGAGCCTTCATCAGCAGATTGGTATCCACATATCCATCATGTTGCACGTCCTGGAATGACACCATTGAATCCTCGTCCATCTCCTCCGAAAAATCTTGACCAAACGGGACCACATCGTTAGCATCTTCATAGGACTACAAGGACACTCATGCGTTTTTATTACAGTCTAAAAGTAGTGCCCAGGATTATTTTACCTCAGGTCCTATCACAAAGTCCTGGAAGGCCGCTTGAGATCCCGACCAGAACAAAAGACAGGTGACAAAGGTTAACTGGTTCATTGCAGCCTAGTGGACAACTGTGGTCCAATCGAACATCGAACTTTGTGTGATCATAGAGCCCAATAAAAAGCAGATGACAAGTACTCGCACTGGGTTATGGTCAATTTGCTGGCTAATGGTCAACAAACCGAGGTCGGCTTTAATGACTTTTAAACGGCTAGCGACAAATTAAACTTAATGGACGAAACTTTTACTTTAAATGTAGGTTCACATTGGATAAATCAATCTATATGGAGCATCAGCTGCTGGGCAGCGGAACATGGGGCAGTGGATTGCACTGCTCGGCGAATTGCTTGGCCAAAGTGCAGGGTCTCTCGTCTTTCCACATTTGCGGGGGGCAGTGGAGAAAAGTCTCGGCATTCACGCAGCTATATATGATTCCGGCGAAGGGGGAACAGCCATGGGGCAGCACTTTGTAGGACTCAATGTTTAATGTCTTCATGTGAGCCTTAACTGCAAGCAAATGGCATAATGGTATCTACAATGTCAATGGCATCACACATACGCACCGTTGGACAGACAGGACTCGAAGGAGTGCACTATATAGGAGACGATGTCCTGATCCCGCCGATGAACGTGCTCTTCCAAGTACTGCTTAACTCTGTCTATTTTAATTCTTCCATTGACCATGGCGCCCGTCTCGCGGTAAATGCAATCGGGATAGCACTGTATTGTGTGCAGAAGTTAAAGGGCTGTCTTTATCCTTACTCATTTGCAAATATTTACCAGATGAGCATAGCTGGGGTATTTCGAGTTCGCCGACTTCAAGCCACTCACATACTTGTGGCACTTCTGGGGCACATCACCCATATCCAATTCCGGCGTGCGACAGCATGAGTTGATGTCCTACAAGGTTGAGTTTCAATTACACTTACTCTTCTACGATTAGTTCCACTTACAAAGTTGTTGAAGTTCGGCGGTGCTGAGCAGTTAAATGTCGCCCGCGAACAATCCAGAAAAATGAGTAAAAAACCAAAACAAATGGCATACTCGTATTTATGCATATTTAAGGTGTGATTCACTGTGGTGCCGTGAAATAAATAAAATTTTTCTAGCTCTCCGCCGCTCGCTTTATATAGCCAAATTTCAGCCCGCTTTTAATGGGCTTGTAATGAAGTCGGGTCGTCTGCATTGTTTGTTGGTTCAATGAGTCTGCCGAAGGCTGGGCGGCACAAAGGTTGACTGACTGATGACCGGACTCGATTCCACTCGATTTTATTTGGGCAGAGCTGGTGCGTGACAAGAGTTGGGGAAATACCAGAAGTATTGCCGCAAATTGGGCGAAAAAGCATTACGGATGGCAGATAAGCGCGGGCTAGAACCGAGTGATTCACTGGAACGGCAACCAGGTGATGCTCCGAGTAATCCTTTCCCCATGCCGTTACAGCCTAATTAGTGCGGCGTGTAATTAATGAGAATGCTGAAAGACGAGACCCCTTGACACCGAGGTGTTGAAGATGCCAGCTAAGTAATTGTTGAGTGCTCCTACCAACCACCAGCTGCCATGCATGTGTACACTGCGAGAAGTAGGCTGGGCATTTGCTGCTCAAAGACTGTCACGTTTGAATATCTCTACTCTTACTTAGCTTAGGCCGCAATAAGCATTACAGAAATCACAAGCTGTTGCCCTTTTGTAAGTAGAGACTGGCACAATCCAAATTTATAGTTGCCTGAGTAAGCCATTGACTATTTGAAAGCTAGGAAATCCTAATATCGCACAATGCGCCCCTACAAGCAAGTGGTTCTCAAACTACCGAAACACAGTGGGGCCACGACCCTTGGCCTGTTCCATATGGATGTGGACGACTACTCACTGAGCCCCGATGAGGATGCCGACATTTTTTACGTGATCAATCGCAGGGCAGTAACTCTGTTTCAGCAGGGAAGGTCTTGGATGAGGCGTTTTCGTTATTACAGTGCAGGAAACGCTTTTATGAAAGCAATAAACTCTATGAAGAACTGCAGAGTTTGCAGTTTCGAGCAGGAGTGCCAGCGAACTGATCTGCTGATCGCGCTCCTCGAAAACTTGATGGTCTGCTTCAACAAGATTAGGCGGTCTAAGTGCGTCTGCACTGCCATGAAGGACTTGCGCCTCCTGACCAAAAACAATCCTTCGTGGTGGGCGCTCTGTCAGGAGGGTCGTGCCCTAGAGGCCTTGGGTAAATACTATCCTGCCCGTTTGTCCTACACAAAGGCGCTGAAGAAAAAGCCCGGGGAGCAGAGTATTAAGGAGGAGATTACCAGAATCAGCAAGAGAATCGGCGATCTTGAGGGGACGAAACAAATGCTTTCTCAGCTGTCCATATAACGTGCCTGTTGCGTATAACCGAAGCCCTAAATATGAAAATCAACTGAATTTACCATAAATCTCCATTTGAAGCATCAAGCCACTCGCTGATAATAATATATGAAAAGCAGTATATATACATTGATACATTTCCGATAAGTATTTATAATTGGCCTGAAATGCTAGTACTTTTCTTCAGTGTAACTGTGCGTGTGCGAGTTTCGCTTTTGTGTGCTCGTTGTGTCTTCTGCTCAGTGATTTGCTCCTTATGGTCCTAACCACTAAGCTGATGGCATTTCGGGCATAAAACGATTTCATCGCAGTTCCTTTGTGCTTAAGGCAGGCTTAAATGCTGCGACAGTATATTATTTAAATGGAAGTAAGGCAAGTGCATGATCCGAATGAATTAATGCTAGCTTATCCCAGTTTCACACTCTGATTGATTTTAGTTTTCCCATTTCCTCAAGCATATCAGGTGCAGCAAAACAGCATTTTCTATTGAATATCGAAACAATGCTTGCAACAAAGCTGAAATGAATTAAAAAACTTTCATGTGCAGGGATGTGAAAAACATTTAAGAAGAGAAAAATGTCCGCAAAAAATACAGAGAAATGCGTGTGACATTAAATATGCATGAGACAGGACGAACGCTTTTAAACGGGTCAGAGAATCGGAGAAACAGGGACAGAGACTCGAAACAGGACAACGAACATGTCTTTGCTTTTGGCATCGAGAGAAAGCATTTTTAAATTGGAATTTAAATGCCTCTGAGTGGCAGTTGACATTAGCATTTGTTTGAAAATCAAACAGTTTGCCTGGGTATATCGCCGCCCCCGAAACCCTTGTGTCTGCGACTTCAAAATCCACACAGCAACCCTCATGTGTCGCACGCATTCCAAGCAGCCAGGACATCCGTCTAAATGTTTATCATTCTGATAAAAAATTTAGCAGGCAGGAACAAAAATGCCGGTAAATAAAAATGTTGCCCTTGTTTTCTCTACAATTTCATTTCAGACATTTTCCCGGAAACCATTTTCCCGGGGCCTAGCCATATTGATATTTCAATAACTGTCAGACCCGAGGCGCTGCCACTTGAGTTTAATTTGATTAGGCCCCAAGTGAGAGGTGTTCTGAACGGCTCCGAAATTCACAATTAAATCAGGCTGCGACTTCAAAGGCGGCCTGCAACGAGTTTCACATCACTATGAGTCCTGAATCCTCCGAATCCTGCCGTATCCTGTGGAGGCCGGGGTATCCCTTTTTCCGCATTGCCCTAAACAAACAGGCAGCGAAATGCTGGGCAAACATGAGGCTCCGGCACATATTTGCATAAATCAAATAGGCAGATTTTCAGGCATTAGAACTGCAATCGAATCGGTTTCTGTTCGGGGTCCTTTTACCCAACCCCCTGCCAGGATGTTCCACCTGTTGCCCGGCGGAAAGCTTTGGCAACAGCTTGTGGAATGCAGCTTTGCGAGCTTTCCTCTTTGTGGAACCCAGAATTGGCGCCTTTTGGTAAGAAGGCGAGGCTTGTTAAGACACATCCTTCGGGTATCCCGTCAGTTATCAGCGGGATGTGAACGAGTGCGGTTCGTTTCGGAATTTCAAAACTTGCGCAAGCCTATTGTCCTCTTGGGAGCCGTTAAAGTGGAAATTCATTTTTAAATAATGTGCAAAGGAGAAATGGAAATTTTAATTTGGCAAAAGAAAAGAAATAGCAAATAATTGCCGTATAACTTTGCCAGTCAATGGCTTTGAGTGTTTCGAAAAAGTTCAAGGGTCGCTATAACAAATAATCCCGCATATAAATGTGAACACAATAAAGTTTTGCCCACGTAAATGGGCGTGTGTCAATAACCAAGGCAACTAGCAAAAACACCCATTCCTGCAAAAACCGCTTAAACAAAATCATTTCGCAGCTTAGAAGGCGTTAAACGCATTTAGGACGGGTCAAGTAAGTGGTCAAAAGGACAAAGGACCAGCCTCCTGGCGCTCTGTGGTCCCTGGTGCGAGTGTTAAACGCAAGAAATCCCGAGAATTCCAACGCTAGTTTGTGAGTGTGAGTGGGGAAAGGAATCCCATTCTGCGGATAGGAACTTGGCTGGGAGAAGAAGGTGAGCATTTTCAGGGCGGTTGGGATGCAGAGACAAATTGTGGTTAATTAAAATGCCACTGCATACACACGCTCAATTGCTGAACACAATGCTATCGGTTACTAAAACGAAAACTCTGCGGCTGAAAGAGCCGAGAATATGGGTATTAGTGGGCAGCAGGGGCATTGTTTTGCGTGTTTGCAGTATCGATTGTGGAAATTCCGGCCAGAAATCAGAAATCCCCCACTCCATGCACATGACCACTCCAATAAACGAACTGCCAACCAGGAAGGACTTGTTGCCATGGCCCTAAGGACTTCCCTCTGCAAGCTGAGTAAATCATCGGCAATCTCCGTGGCATTTCGGCCACTTGTAATGCATTAAACCAAATTTTTATTGGGCCAATAAATAACAGATTTGGTGGCCAGGTTCGTTTCTTTTGCGCTGGATTTTTATGGTCTTCTGCTCGGACTATCCGCAGCAGTGGAGATCCCTCACGTACATGACTCCAAATGCAGGCGCCTGCACGTGCCACACACAAAGGAGAGCTGTTAAAGGCCAGACAATAAAACGCAACACTTGTTGGCAATCGCTGGAGTGTCTGCCCCAACCCATCCGAAGGCAGTGGCCAAAGGATATGTGCTGACTTAAGCATGGAAAGTGGCCAGCAGATCAGGCTCGGGCGGAAATGGAAATGGCAGTGCGTGCCTGCAAATTATGATGTTGGCTTGTCTAGACTGCTTTTTCCTTATCGGCCTCCGAGGAGAGTCCAGTGAAGTCCGAACAATAAAAGCTAAGCGCCCCAGGCGGATGAATAAAATTAGTAATATATTTTCTCCGGATTACAGATTTCCTCCGAACATTCCCCCCCGCATACCCGATCGAATTCATTGTTTCCACGCTTAAATGGGCAGCTTAATTACAAACTTTCTATACGCTTATGCCTGCGTGCTGGCTTTGCAAGCAGCCTTTGTCCACGCTGCGTATACGTAATGTGTTGCTGGTCTCTTGTGTGGCACGCTTATAAATTTTAAATGCTTCCGTTTTTTGCTTGCAACTGGCAGCTGGCAGCTCGCAGCTTATGCATATAAAATTTAATGAGCTACATTAATGAGAACCGAAAATAGCACTTTTCCCCGGTGTGCCGCGCAATGGCGGAATGTTTGTAAAGGTACTCATACAAACCTTCACGCGTAAAAAAAAAAGCCCTCTTCAAGGGCCTGCAAAAGCTGGAATTTAATTTTTAGTCTGCATATTTTGTCGGATAAGTGGAAAATGCGAACGCTTGCCACTATTCGCACTGTTATTATGTTTTCAATCCCCTAAAGAAATCCCCGGCGAACATTTATAAGCATTATAGTAGCAGGAAATTGCAGATCCTCTCACATGGGCGGGAAAAAAGTAAAGGACCCACAAGCAAACCCCCCCCTTCAACAATCCCCTATTTTTTTGCGTGTCGCCTTTGGCAAATCCATTGTGTGCAATCGTACGAGATTAGATACAATCTTCTATAATAGCATGTGCAAAGAGGCAGAGGAGCAGAAAGGACGATGTGCGATTTGTCCGTCTCCTTGCAGGACCAACCATTTCTTATGCCACCGTATATGTATGTATTTCTGGTAATGTCCTTTTTATGCCGGCGATGATTCGGCCAAGCTGAATTTGTTTTGCCTGTTTCCCCGGCGGGCGGACATTCGTCAAATTGGCTGGTCATAAATGAGATTTGTCCAAGCGAGCTGTCAGAACGTATTTGCATTCGCACGCTGATTTGAAATGTGTACTTCTTGGGTTTTTTTCGGGTCTGTCTGCTGAATTAATTGAAATCAAATACGCAATTAGCGGTTATGACCATAATTTAGGCCTGCTAATTTCGCGCGACGTTATTTATGAGGTAATTAGAGGCAGTCCTCCGTCGTTCATTCCCTTTTTAAATAATATACTTTTCAACTTAAAATTGCGGCTGGTATATTGCGGCCCTAACTCATCCGAGTTGCTGTGAGCGTGCGAAGCTGGAAAACGAAGGCAACAGGGCGTATGTGTTATAAGTAAGCCAGTGGCTAATGAACCAGGATCCCGGATCCAGGACCTTGGCAAACTCCGGAAAGGACGTGCAGGCATGTACCGTGCAGTAATAATCAGCCAGCCTTTGTTTTATGTACATGCATTGCGTTAATTTACGAGAAAAACAAACAGGAGCAACAATGGAAAGAAAAATACGAAGGCGCACACAGTGGCAGCCAAAAGTGGAGCACCCAAGCCTTGGGGCAGAATTTTCAATTTCCCTGCGGGTTTAATGTTTCATGGGTTGTGGCTGGAAATTCCAGTGCCAATTAGAAAATCGCCTGGGGAATGTGCCGTCCGAGTAAATCGGAAATTCCACAGAAAGTAATTCGCTCGGGTTGGGTATCACTTCAGAGATTATCATTTTCCGTCCAAGTGGATTTAAATTCCTGCGTTCGCTTATGGCTTTCCCTTGAAAATAAGGCTTGATTGTTTGCCTAAAATATTTCACTGCTAAGTGGAAAGTGGAAACCACTTCCGATTACATTTTAGCGCGCACAGACAACTTTTCCAGCTCACTGTGAACAGGCCCATTTACATTTTTAATATATTGTATAAGTGTGTGTGTGTGTGTCGGTGTGTGGTTGTGTGTGTCTTACTTGGTGCCCCGTTTTATGTCCTGCATTAATGTAACGATGCATCATTTATGCCATTTATTATCAGTACATAAATGCGAGATTTCGTCTCAGAGGCACAACCAGCCCGAACCAGGCCACAAAGGCCACAATCTTTGGCCGGAAGTTAGCTCTTCTAATTTCTATCACCACCACCCCAGACTGAGGCACATTGACGTGCTTTTTATGGGCACATATCAGTGCGGAAAACGAGACCGAAAGGCTGCCTGGCGTTCCTCTGATTTGCTGACGCTTCTGTCCGCCTTTGATGGCAAAACTAATGAATTTTTATGGCATTGTGGGCCTGTGCATTTACTTATCTAGCCACCCTGTTTTCCCTAGAAATGGTCTTCGACTTAAAGCATGCTTCCCGCCGCGTTGATGGTCCTTTAAGCCTGGTTCGATGTGGGCGTGGCCCGAAGTCGGTGAAACATGGCCAATGCAATTAACGCACACTGGCGAAATGCCGCTGGCTGCGGTGGAGCGGGCAGAAGGGTTGGCAATTGAACTTTGCCCGACAGCTTAGTTACAGCCAACCGACGGGGAATCCCCTAACAATTGAGGAAATTATAACTTTCTGATTGAACGAATTCTGCTGGGGAGTATTATGAACGTTGTCAGTTCGCAGGGAACTGGTCGGAAATAGCAGCTATTTTGTTCGCATCAGTCTATAATGATGTTTTCGAATAATAATAATTTATTTCTAGTTAAAGTTGGTGGCTATTTTTGTAAAAACACACAGTCTTGTATATTTTTTAAGGTTACATTTTCAAAGTACCTCAAATATTTTCCCGTCCGCTCCAAGTGTTTTACAGTCTTTGCCTCAACTTTAAACTGACTTCTTTCAGTACCAGAGATGTCAAGTGCCAGGATGTTGTAGAATGAGTGACCACGACCACATCGATTCGGTGAATGCCAGCGGGAGTGATCCGCTCCTGGATCTGCACAACCTAGAAGGGAGCTTGGAGCTGCAGTGCCTGGTGCAGGAGCACATAGAGGCCTCCACCTATGGCAACGACAGCGGCCACTGCCTCACCCAGTTCGACTCGATCCTGTGCTGGCCCAGAACAGCGCGCGGTACCCTGGCGGTGCTCCAGTGCATGGACGAGCTGCAGGGAATTCACTACGACAGCAGCAGTTAGTACCAGTCCAGTAGTTTGACTTATCTCTTATTTAATTATGAATATAATTTGGAATTTTTGCACGTCCCTTGAAGACAGAAAAGACAGAAGTCATATACCCGATAAAGATTAAAGTGTATGGAACGAGTCTATTTAAAAACTGTTTACACTTTCCGCTGTGTGCGTTTTTGTATTTGACCAGAGAATGCAACGAGGTTCTGCCACGCCAATGGAACTTGGGAGAAGTACACCAACTACGATGCCTGCGCCCACCTGCCCGCCCCCGAATCCGTGCCGGAGTTCGAGGTCATCGTGGAGCTGCCCACCATTATCTACTACATTGGATATACCATCAGCCTGGTATCGCTCTCGCTGGCGCTGATTGTTTTCGCCTACTTCAAGTGAGTGCGCCCCTCCCTGGTGACCCCGATGCCCTTTGCATGGCACTTATTTTTGCCTAACCCCCGACTAAGCCCCGACTATCCCCCGACTAACCCCCTTCCTTTGTATTTGTCTTTGTGCCACAGGGAGCTGCGTTGCCTGCGCAACACCATACACGCCAACTTGTTCTTCACGTACATCATGTCGGCTTTGTTCTGGATACTCTTGTTATCCGTCCAGGTGAGCATTATGACTGCCAGATAATTGCAATTGCTGGCTTATTGAATCATACTCGAGCTTGAAAGGGGAGCGTCCAAATTGAAAGGAACTATAAACAGCCGCTGGCAGCTTGAAACTCATGGTTACCACTTAATCTCCATCCATCCAACAGATCTCCATCCGAAGTGGAGTGGGCAGCTGCATTGCTCTGATCACCCTGTTCCACTTCTTCACCCTGACCAACTTCTTTTGGATGCTGGTCGAGGGTTTGTACCTGTACATGCTGGTGGTTAAGACCTTCTCGGGGGACAATTTGCGCTTTAATATCTACGCCTCCATAGGCTGGGGTAAGTTTGAATGCCGGAGTGTGTGCCAGTCCAATTAAGTCTTCCCCCTGCTGGCAGGTGGACCGGCCTTGTTTGTGGTCACCTGGGCTGTGGCCAAGAGTCTGACGGTCACCTACAGCGCCCCCGAAAAGGTATGTCTATTTTGGGATTTGAAGAGGCCCCTGGAGAGTACGCTTCCTTTTGTTTCCTATCCGACAGTACGAAATCAACTGCCCCTGGATGCAGGAGACCCATGTGGATTGGATATACCAGGGACCTGTCTGTGCGGTGCTAATCATCAATCTCACCTTCCTGTTGCGCATCATGTGGGTGCGTATGGAATTTACACGGCACAAAAATATAGGCACTCCTCAGAAAAACTTTACAGAAGAAAAAGTGACTGTGAAACAATTGGTTTGCTAGCTCGCATCTAACAAACATCTTATTAGTCTTGAAACACTTTTAAGCCTTTAGAGGAATTTAGCAACCAATATTTTTCTGACTGTGAGTTGCCGAAATTACTGAGCCAGCTTACCGTGCTGCATCTCTTTTAGGTTCTTATCACAAAGCTGCGCTCGGCCAATACAGTGGAGACTCGCCAGTATCGGAAAGCTGCGAAGGCCCTGCTGGTGCTAATCCCACTTTTTGGCATCACCTACCTGGTGGTGCTCGCTGGTCCATCGGAATCCGGCCTAATGGGTCACATGTTTGCCGTCCTGCGAGCGGTATTACTCAGCACTCAGGTGGGTTTCGTGTGTCAGGGGCCAATCCTTTTGACTACTTTTTCTAAGCGAATGCTTGTGTGTGTGCCACAGGGATTCTCGGTGTCGCTGTTCTACTGTTTCCTCAACTCCGAGGTGCGAAATGCACTAAGACACCACATTTCCACGTGGCGGGACACGCGCAACATCCAGTTGAACCAGAACCGACGGTAAGTAGTCCAAACTTCTAAGTCTGCTTGTGAGCACACTTAAGAATAAAACACCACTCAAAAAGAAAGGACTGAAAACTTGTACAGAAACCACTGAGCTGCAGAAATTTCCCCTCAAATGGCTTTAAGTATGGCGTAAAGCGTGGCAGTGCTTGATTGCTTTTAGGAACTGCAGCTATTAACAACATTTTCACTAAAGTCTATTAACTTTTCCTATGCAATCTTGCTCTAACTTGGCAGTTACACGACGAAAAGCTTCACGAAAGGCGGTGGTTCCCCTCGAGCCGAGAGCATGCGGTAAGTTATGTGGCCATCGTGGCTAAGCAGTGACGGGATATCTTGACATCAACTCCGTTGCAGACCTTTGACCAGTTACTATGGGCGTGGCAAGCGGGAGTCGTGCGTGAGTTCGGCCACCACCACCACGCTGGTGGGTCAGCATGCCCCACTTTCGCTCCACCGGGGCTCCAACAATGCCCTGCACACGATGCCCACCCTGGCTTCAAATGCCATGAGTTCCGGCAGCACACTAAGCGTAATGCCCCGGGCCATTAGTCCCCTGATGAGGGTGAGGAGCAGAACTGAGAAAAGTCAGCCGCCACAGAGACTAATAATCGTTCTCGAATTTCAGCAAGGACTCGAGGAGAACTCGGTGTAGACAAATCCCTAGCAACTGCATCTTAAGAGACTGAACTTTCATTGAATTCCACTTCCGTGTCGCAGATCTGCGAGTGCGATTAGTTAGCTAGTACTACATATTTAAGGCTGGAGTACGATGAAAGGACGAAACCAAGTACCAAGCGGAGCAGCAAGCAACATAAGTTAGGTCAATCGTTTTAAACTGTTAGATGTCGTATATGTGAACAGCTGAGGGCCCCATAACCAACCCAACCAATGCCATGAACTCCAACTGTAGCTGTTGAATGTAACTCAATGTGCAAATGGATTAATTCTCTGTGTAAACACGAAATTCTAGCATCTAAATAAATGGTCTATTTACTTCGGAGTACTCGATCAGCTTGTACTTCTTTGTGGGGATTATCACTGCGGTTTTCTTTTGGTGAGTTTTCACTGCGGAGCGGATTTTCTTTATCGCCTTTGATGTACTCGAAAAAATTCCTAAAATACTTTCCTCGCAGATGTGTAGCTGCTATGGCTACATACTCGTATATGGCAAAAGTTGACATGGCAAACACATGTTCCGCTCTTTTCAACTTCCTAAAAGTATGCAACAGTTTGGCAAGCCAACAATACAGCGAAACGAAACTCAAAACTCTTTCACGATAATCTGCGAACAAAAAGTTTCATGGGCAAAAGTTTCCATCAAAACCGACATTTTATGAAGCTGACAGGATAGAGGAAATATGTTGGCGGCTTATCTTGGCTTCTTCTCCGGGAAATTCATGAAACTTTAATGCGTAATAGAGTCCTACATTATAATGGCCTATCCTCACACCTCCTGCTTTCGCTCAGTTACATTTTAATTAATTGAAATTTTGGTTGATTATGAAAAAGCAGCCCATAGACGGTATAATTGAAAGCTAATTGGGTCCGAGCTCGCAAAACGGTGCGCAGTTTAATGAGATAATTGACTCGTGTTGGGAAAAAAGGATTGCCTCATCCCCTTAACATGCTTAAAGGTCACGATTTGGGCAACTTAGCATCTAAATGGCATCTGCACTTAGCGTTTCAGACAACGTTCCCTGGAAATGTTGCGCATATCTCGGCGTTCTCAAAATGCACAGAAACTACTGCCAGTTGTGCCCCAAAATGCTCATAAATGTTGCATGAAAAGCGGCCATGCAGGCACAGAAAAAAACTAGAAGCCTTGGCCTTTGCTGTTATATTTTAGACCATTTAGATACCCATTAAAAAAGACTATTTCATTTCGGAGATTTCAAATAACAGAAATAATATATATTTATATTTGCTTATTAAATTAAAACGTGGAGCACAACCTTTTCTAAACACCTCATTCTTCTTTCCATGAAAACCGAATTACCCACCCTGTATACAGGGTATACAACTTCCAAAGCGGGGTGAATATAAAAGCCAAGTCCAGGCAAAAAAGAGAATTCAGAGCGGAATACAAATGTAAATATTTTACTACAGTTGTTGGTCCGCTTGCAAAGATTCATGCCGAAATAAAAGAATAAAATAAAAATAAATTTTTAATGTGCTCGAAATATGCACGAAACGTTCTTTTCTTCATTTGATATGCTGAGATTTCTTTTGTTATTCCGCTCCTTGTGGAAACCACACTACGTGGTTTCCTATATCCGCCGAAAGTGGCGATTGTGGTAGCCGTGTTTCCGTGCTTAGCCTAATTGAAATGCCCCAAGTGGCACTTTAATGAAAGTTCAAGAAAATCAAGTGCAACAAAAACCGAACCACTCGAAAGCCAGCTCCTTGAGAAACTTGTGTTTAAAGTGTGGCAAAGGCGCAAATACAATCACATCAATGTGTGGCAGGTGCCCAACTTCAATGCCCCCTCAACTTTCGAACTTCCGTCAACATATGCGTCGTGTGCAGCCGTCGCCCTGAAGATCCTTGTGCTTGCCAACCAGCGACAAGGACTCTTGCCTTCCGTACCTGAAGGACTCAGATAAGAAGAGGAAATGGCAGCGACGGCAGTCAAATGGGGCGCCACAAAAATGCCAACGCAATTGTAGCATTTTAATTAACCAAATTGTGCGCATAAAATGGCAACTTCAGCAGCGCGCGAAACGGAACTCAATTATAAGTCGCTTAGGCGGCCACTATACATGAAATGAAATCTTTTTCAAAGGGTTCGGCAGCTGCCTTAATTAACGCCATCCTCAAAACTCAGGGGGTGGTGTCATTTTGTGGTACGGGGTGCAAACTCAGACATTAACAAGTTGGCATCCGGTCAAAGGGCAGGCGAGCGTAGAAGAGTATTTAAATATGGTGCAGCTGGTAAATAACAGAATAAACAGAGGTTTCTGGCGGATTTTCCCAACTATAGGAAATGGGCATGCATTGATTAACCACTGAGAAATATATGTAAAATAAATAATATGAATGAAGGGCTCATTCAGCCGGCAAGACTGAATAAATCCGAAGTAATTATGACACATTCCACCAAAGAAACTTTGGTAGCACCGCTTTCGTCTCTAATTAAAGCCGCGTCCTCGGAACGAGATGAGCATTCAGTACGAATGTGATTTATGTGTGGTTTCTGCCTTTGCAGCCAAATCTCCTTAATGAGATGTGTGGACGTATTATGAATGGGAGCGAACTTAGCGCCTCGATGGCGGCGGGATTCCCCAAAAGTCCTTGGCCATAAAGTGTATTACATCCGACGTGCCTCTTACGCTCGAATGCCTGTGGCTGCCGAACAATTTGGCCGCAGGATGTGCGCTCCTCTCTCATCTGTTCAGTGGTTTTCTGGCCGGCAGGACATCGGCTAATTAAATATTTGCTCTTGTCGGCTTAAGCAATTGCATCATTGTCTTCGATGGGGGAAACTTTGAACTTTGGAGCGGCGAGTGGCAATGGAACTTTAAGCCATCAAGTGGGCTGGCAGAAACTTGCTCAATTCTCATGCTGCTGACGGCTTCAAAACAATTTCCACTGGCTGTCATCGCAACTGGGTAACATTCTATATGCAAATCGAATTGAAACAGCAGCTGCCAGGGAGGTTGAGTAGGTGGCTGTCACCTACAATTGCAATAAGGAGCATATAGCATATAGCCATTATTATATGTACATAATATATAAGGAGTTCTATTCCTAGCTAATTACTGATGCAGATTGCGATAAAATCGCTGCTCTTTTATTAACAGCCTTTTATTGCCGGGCAAATCAATCAAAATTGAGTGCAAAGTGGTTGACATCGTTGTTCGCTTAATTGATTGCTTCCACAGCAGTGCAGGATATCAATCAATGCCGCTGGCAAAGCTCTTTAACCGGCTTTAAAACGGCTTAATTTTCCCGCTAACGACCGCAAAGTTAAAGTGTGAAAATCACCGTGCTAATGGGTTAAGAGCAAGGCTTAAGGACATTTCCCCTTAGCCTTATTCATCACACTGTCGTTCATAAATTGCACAGACCGTAATTCTTCAGAAATGTAACACCTCCGGTGGCATAAAGTTTTCAATTTACCCCTTACTATTTGGATTCCCGTGGCATTGGCAATTTATTTCCATATTTCAGCTGCTACATTGACATTTGCAGCGCACAAATGCATGCCAGAGGATACGAGTTCTAGTGCATACAGAACAGGACTCACCGAGTCCTTATTTATATTTCTCCGCTCTGGGCCAAAAACTCGGTTAGGGTTAGGGCAAGAAAGGTTCTGTTTCTGCGGCTGTCTGTGCGAAATACAAAACAAATCAATAAACGGGATACCCAACTCGCGGGATTGCCCGGTTTTTGGTTTGTTTCGACCCCACTAATTGGCCCATAAATAATTTAAAACGGCAACAAGTCAGCATGCCGCATATATAAATATTTTTTGCTTCTTAGTCAGCCAGTTAAAGATCCAGACCCTTTTTTCATGACTTCTGAAATGTATATGTAGAGAGCTGAGGCAAAGTTTCACGTTATAATTGGTTTTTTCGGCATGTGAAAGAGACTTGGCCAGGACCACATGGCCTGAATCATCTTGGCCCGAACTTCTTGGCGAAAACTTTTCACCAGCTGTGGGTTTCGGGTTTTCCTGCCAGTCCACTCGAGGAACTCTATATCTTTCATATTATCCAGCAGGGAGCAGTTTTTCCCTCCTTTTTCTTTTCGCTCCTGTTTTTCCGCTCAAACCTAATTTATAAGCATCAAAGAATACAAAATGTGCTGCCTGCAATTTCCGCTTTCCAATTTAAGACAGAGTTTACCTTTTTGCCTTGCGGTGGACACAGGTCGAAAAAAAAACAAAAAAAAAGAGGAAACCGACAAACTTTTCGTTTCTTTGAGCAAAAATCAACAAGTGTTGCCACACACACAAGTTTTCTCTTTTGGCTCCTGACACTCGGTGACAGCTTTTCAAGGACTTCCTGTCACCGACATGACTTTTGACTTAAACTCTGTCCCACTGACGAATTTTAGTGACAGCTACCCGGAATCACAAGCGCAAACTTTGCCTTGTCCCTTAACTTTAATTGTGTTTGCCTAATTCAATGAGGGCCTGCTTTGCCTAATGGCGCATAATGCAATTTCAATTCACCCGATAATGTTATTTGCCCAGGGCCCAGCAAGTCGCCTTCAATTAAACGGTGCGATCCCACACTCGTACTTCTGCCAATCCTTTTTGGGCCAGGTCAAAAGCCTCAGTCGGCGCGGAAAATGCACTAATTAATTGTGCCGCCAAGCCCCCAGCGACTTTCTGCTGAAAGTAATAGGGCCAAGGAGCAGGAGCCCCGGGAATTGTCATATTCCCTGGCCCATTAGCGCAGGTGTGGCCTGCCATTGACAGCTGGCTTTCAGGACGAGAAGGTCGTCCAAAGAGGTTTTCGGGATTTGTCGTCCTTCTTTGCTTCTTTGCTAAAGGCGCTCTTATTGTCGCATTATCCACACCGGTTGGTTGGCATTTTAATTGGCGCTCATCCGGACGTGTGATGAGTAAGACCCTTGCAGTTTGCTTCAAGCAACTTCAATATGAACGATGTGAACATTTTGATAGACATTCGTATCCAAGCAATTGAGCACACATTTACGCAAATGGCAGTGCACAAATGAAAGTGCAATCAAACAGAGTCCCAGAATGGCAGCAAGTACAATTAGAAGACCCTGTCATCGGTGCACACACTTATATTTTTTTCGAGTCGAGTACACACATCGATTGAAGTGAAACTCAACACCTACAGACGCTTTTCACATTGCATTGAAAAGGTTTTCCTCGTCCTCTTTTCCAGCAACAGCAACGCATTCGATCAGTGCTCGATTCCAAACTGCTGCCACACAGAC